CCATGCTTATATTCCAAGAGTCTACATGTGATCATGTGATAATTTTATTGCTTTAAGGAACCCTCCACTTTATTCTTGGAAATAAGCTCATTTTATGAGTGAGGTGGAGTTTATTCATATACTAATTTTAAGAGGATCATGTGCTTATGATTGCTTGCAGATTATCCAATTTATAATTGACCAATCAGACGATAAGTTCCATATCACAGCCATCTTCGTTTTGAAGAATCCCCCCCTCCACCCCTACTCCTCCTCCTTTCCTAGATGGGTGGCACGGTGGCCCAGTGGTTAGCACTGTTGCCTCACAGCCAGATCATCACTAGTTTTAGTCCTTACCAAGCTAGCTGATGTTTCTGTGTGGAGTTTACACGTTCTCCCCGTGCTCAAGTGGGTTTCTCCTGGGTTCCCCACCGTTCAAAAACATGCAGCTTAGGTTAATTGACTTATCCAAATCAGCACCATAGACATGCTCCTAGTCAGTAGTTCTCTCTTAAGAGCGATCACGATCTGTTCATTAGCTTCTACAGCAGGGGAGTTCTCCAGCTCTACCTGAGCTCAAACTCCCCTCTCGCCTTGCAAACGGGAGGGAGCCCCAGGCTCGAGGATCTTATGAGCTCAAGGCTCTCTCCCAGGACAGCATGCCAAACAAGCTTTATAATCAATCATCAGCTAAGTCTTAACTCTTGAAACAGTCAAGTTGTACCATTTTTAAATCCATTCAGCTGATCTTCGGGTCACTTTTAGCTTAGCTTAGCACAAATCAATTAATTGGATTAGACCGTTAGCATCCATAGCGAAGCTCCTTCGTTATTATGCCAGAATGGGAGTATAGTTCCTAGCCATTTTAACCTATAACTTGCATATGTCAGTCTTAGCACAGGAAGGGTCAAGCTTTACATAGAAACATTATCTGAAACCCTATTTGAAATTTTTGAGACGCTAATGGTCTAATCCGATTCAATGATGTATGCTAAGCTAAGCTAAAAGTGCTCCAGCCAGACCTGAAGATCAGCTAAATTAATTGAAAAATTGTAAAAGTCAACTGTTTAACTCAAGGTGACCTGTAATTTACTCTATTACCCTATTTATACCCTATTTATACCCTATTACCCTATTTATTTAAAAACTACTGTTCCTTTAAAGGCAAAGCAAGACTACTTAAACATTTGGCATTGTTGTCAAGCACTGGCAGCTTCATTTGTTGTTTACTGCAAAACACTAAGATTTAACGTCAAGGCGGTAACAGCAACCTGGCTTAAACGTCCAAAAACAAGAGAAGTACAATGTTAGCAGCATCAGAGTATTGAGTCACTGTTTACACTGGACTGTCTTAAAGCAGATTCACCAATCACATTTGTAACCATTTCAGCAACAAGAGACTTTCCCCCCTCCCTTAACAGCAGAATCAGCGCCTCTTCCCAGAAGATACGTTCCCAAGTTGTGCAAGACTAAGATTCTTGCAATGCTTATGTGAATTAGTTGGTGGTCTGGCGCTGTTTCTAAACCAAGGCTGTCTTCTGATCAACTGTGCATTCAGGACGTTTACCCACATTTGAAATCTCAAAGAATGGGCTGTTTTCCCTGAGCTTGACCCCACTGTACACAATGGAGAGTCACAAAGGAATGTAAATGGTAACAGTGCTCTCTGTCAACAGCACAGTCAGTATAGATAAGAGTTAGCCGGTCTGTGTTTGGTTAACCGGCAGCCTGCAAAACACAGCATGTTTGACAGTCGTTACACTAAAAAGGCTTCAGGGTCATTTGGGGTGGGAGCAAATTCTTAGCTGAAACAATTGTGCCATAAAGTGGCCTCATAGGGCAATTCAGCACAGCAGACCAATGAAGCATCCTCAATGCTTGTCTAATGCATTGCATTAAAATCAATGCCACCAGAGGAGTTGGCATACTTCTCTGCACTGAACTGGATAGTAATGAATTATATGCAATCTGGATTAATTAACCAGATTCCAAAAATCAAGTAGTTTCAATTAGAGTAAGTTTTTTTAAAAAATGATTTATAATGTTACAATAATAATAATAATTAATGTTATCATAAATATGTAATCTAAGAGATTATATTACTAAGTATACATTTGATCATGTAATCAAATACGGGTTACAAAAGCCGTAATCTAAATGTAATCCAAAAGTAGCCAGATTACACTACCGTAAATATGTAATCCAAGAGTTTATATTAGACTAAAATCATATTATCATGTAATCAAATAAGAGTTAACACAAACGTAATCCTAATGTAATCCAAAAATAGCCAGATTACATTACGATAAATGAGTAATCTAATAGTTTGTATTATAGAATACAAATGAGGGTTAGCACAAAAGTAATCGAAGTACTTTTAATTTACATTTAGATTACATTACCATGTGTATTCTAATAGTTTATATTACTAACACCACAAAAGTAATCTAAATGTAATCCAAAAGTAGTCAGATTATGATACCATGAATATGTAATCCAAGAGTTTATTATTACAGACTACAAATCGTATCATGCAATCAAATAAGGGTTAACACAAAAGTAAAATAAATATAATCAAATAGAAGCCAACAGCACAAACGTAATCTAAATGTAATCCAAATGTAGTCACATTACATTACCATAATTATGTAATCTAAGATATCATATTAAAGACTACAAATTTTACCATGTAATGATTTCTTAGAGATTATAATACAGACTATAAATTGTATCATGTAATCAAATAACGGTTAGCACAAAAGTAATCTAAATGTAATCCAACAGTAGCCAGATTACGTGACCCAAAATGTGTAATCTACATGGCAAATTTTGTGTATTTTGCAACCAATAACTGATTACAATTCATAAATAATCCACCCAGCTCTGATCAAACCAATATGATTTAGCTTATAGCAGCATGGTAACTTATCTGTCAGTTTTTTCACAAAATCTGCACAAAATTAATCTAAATGTAATCCAAAAGTAGCCAGATTACACTACCGTAAATATGTAATCCAAGAGTTTATATTAGACTAAAATGTTATCATGTAATCAAATAAGGATTAACACAAACGTAATCCTAATGTAATCCAAAAATAGCCAGATTACATTACGATAAATGAGTAATCTAATAGTTTGTATTATAGAATACAAATTTTATCGTGTAATCAAATGAGGGTTAGCACAAAAGTAATCGAAGTACTTTTAATTTACATTTAGATTACATTACCATTACCATGTTTATTCTAATAGTTTATATTACTAACAGCACAAAAGTAATCTAAATGTAATCCAAAAGTAGTCAGATTATGATATCATGAATATGTAATCCAAGAGTTTATTTTTACAGACTACAAATCGTATCATGCAATCAAATAAGGGTTAACACAAAAGTAAAATAAATATAATCAAATAGAAGCCAACAGCACAAACGTAATCTAAATGTAATCCAAAAGTAGTCACATTACATTACCATAATTATGTAATCTAAGATATTATATTAAAGACTACAAATTTTACCATGTAATGATTTCCTAGAGATTATAATACAGACTATAAATTGTATCATGTAATCAAATAGCGGTTAGCACAAAAGTAATCTAAATGTAATCCAACAGTAGCCAGATTACGTGACACAAAATGTGTACTCTAAATGGCAAATTTGGTGTATTTTGCAACCAATAACTGATTACAATTCATAAATAATCCACCCAGCTCTGATCAAACCAATATGATTTAGCTTATAGCAGCATGGTAACTTATCTGTCAGTTTTTTTCACAAAATCTGCACAAAATTAATCTAAATGTAATCCAAAAGTAGCCAGATTACACACACACACACACACACACACACACACACACACACACACACACACACACACACACACACACATATATATATATATATATATATATATATATATATATATATACAGATTATCATAAATGTGTAAACTAAGATATCATATTACACACTACAAATTTTATCATAAGAGTTAGCACAAAAGTAATCTAAATGTAATACAAAAGTAGCCAACAGCACAAAAGTAATCTAAATGTAATACAAAAGTAGCCAACAGCACAAAAGTAATCTAAATGTAATCCAATGGTAGCCAACAGCACAAAAGTAATCTAAATGTAATCCAATGGTAGCCAACAGCACAAAAGTAATCTAAATGTAATCTAATGGTAGCCAACAGCACAAAAGTAATCTAAATGTAATCCAATAGTAGCCAACAGCACAAAAGTAATCTAAATGTAATACAAAAGTAGCCAACAGCAAAAAGTAATCTAAATGTAATCCAATGGTAGCCAACAGCACAAAAGTAATCTAAATGTAATCTAATGGTAGCCAACAGCACAAAAGTAATCTAAATGTAATCCAATGGTAGCCAACAGCACAAAAGTAATCTAAATGTAATCCAATGGTAGCCAACAGCACAAAAGTAATCTAAATGTAATCTAATGGTAGCCAACAGCACAAAAGTAATCTAAGTCTAATCCAATGGTAGCCAACAGCACAAAAAATCTAAATGTAATCCAATAGTAGCCAAAAGCACAAAAGTAATCTAAATGTAATCTAATGGTAGCCAACAGCACAAAAGTAATCTAAGTGTAATCCAATAGTAGCCAACAGCACTAAAGTAATCTAAATTTAATCCAATAGTAGCCAACAGCACTAAAGTAATCTAAATGTAATCCAATGGTAGCCAACAGCACAAAAGTAATCTAAATGCAATCCAATGGTAGCCAACAGCACAAAAGTAATCTAAGTGTAATCCAAAAGTACTCAGATTACGTTACAGTAAATGTGTAATCTATATTGGAAATGTTGTGACTAGTAACTGATTACAATTCATAAGTAATCCCCCCAGCTCTGATCCAACCCATATGATTTAGCTCATTGCAGCGTGGTAACTTATCTGTCACAGTTTTTGTCACAGCATCTGCGAGTCCTCAGTGTTATCAGCGGAGGCTTCCTGGTGTGCGTAATGATTGTTTGCAGGATGGGGTTTTGGGGGGGGGGGGTTGGTTGGCTACTCTGCAGAGGAGTTCTGCTGACTGCAGTAGAGAGGGACTACCTCAGTGCGTCAGCACTCTGAAATGAATGAAGAAAAAACCCCCGAATCAATCAGAGTGACTGCAGAGAGAGAAGAGTCTACACACTTTCTCTGATCTTTTGGCGTAGCTGTCTTCACATGCACTAGTGAGCACTCCGTAAAATGGTAAGTCCTTTCTAATCTCGGTCTTGTGCTTTAAAAGTGTACTTGGAAAGTTTTGCAGCATAGTGAGCACTTTTAATCACACTTCAGTGCGTCCTAAGGTGAAGGGTATGGAAAGCGGTCCTGCAGCACTGCTGTTAATTGGGATTTAAGCATGCATGAACCGTTTATAAGCCACAGTCATTCGTTTCTGAACGCGTCCTACTGTATTTGTGTTTGAGTGACTTTCTGTGATAAAAGGACATGGTGTGCGCTGGTGTGTGTGCGTGACAGCACTGCACAGCGGAGTTACTGCGGATGGGATCTGCCGCACAAAACTGAACTCTCTCACTATAATAGAGTTGTAATGCTATTAACAGCTCATATTATGAATACCGTGGCCTAATATATCAGGGTTATTAATGGTATCATGCTTTTGTTATAATGACCTACAAATGTTCCAGAATAAATGTCACACACTTAACGCAAGTTTTGGGTCTATAAATGAACAAACAACAAATAAAATAAGCAGTTTTTTGTCGTTATGTGCCAAAGAACATACTGAAAAAATTATTCATTGGATTTACTACGTTTTTTTAAGGTAAGTAAATGCAAACTATTTACATGGGCTGAATTTAAACAAACAATCTTAGTTTAGTAATGTTCAACTTAATTTGTTTATTAAATTCAGCTCAAATTAACTGTTTACAACCACTTACCTTAAAAAACTGTAGTCAATCCAGTGATTCATTTTGTTTGAGAACATAACCAAAACACTGTGCATTTTGTATTTATGTATGTTTGTATTATTTCATGTACATTTTTCAACGCAATCTCACGGAAAATCGTTACGTTTTGACTTAGTGGCTAATTTGTATGAATTCGTATGTTCTAATTCGTACAATTTAGTACGATTTGCTCATCACCCAATGGCTGTTGGGGTTAGGTACCATGCCTCCTTTTTAACACCGTATATTTGCGTATGACTCAACTCGAATGTACGAATTAGCCACTAAACTGACAAAACAAAAAATACACAGGTTTCCTCATGAGATCAGGCTGCATTTTTTGTGTTTATTACGTGTGCATTTGATTTTCTTAACTCAAAAAAATGACGTTTGCTGTTTGAGCGAACTGTCTTTCTTTTAAAATAAGCTGAAACAACAATTCTTGAGTTTTTTTGTGACAACCTAACTGTATGTTCAATCCACCTTAATTTGTAAAACGTAATAAGTTAACTTAATGGGCTAATGACCTTATTCTAAAATGTGGAAGTGCGCCTGTTTTCGCGATTGTCTTAGAACTTCCGATTCAGTCGCCTATGGTAGAAATGACTAGGAATAATAAACGGCAGAAAATGGCCAAACAACTTGCTCAACAAACAAATGTTTGCATGACTACACAGACCAAGTAGCATAATATAATAAGAAAATATTAAATTGCAACATCAAGCAGCGTAACGAGCAGTTGTTAACGTCAAAAAATGAATGGAAGTGAATGTGACCGGAAGTCGCGAGACAAAAAGATTCAAATGGCAGCGCCCGCTCGTCAGCTGAGAATAAGGTGAATAAAACAGCTAGTGTTTTTCAGCCAATGATAAATTTCTGGTGAAAGCTTAATGCGACTATTTTCAATGTCATAAGGTTCCTATTGCTGCATTGATGTAATGTAATTACAATACATTCAGTTAAACAGATTTCAGCATTCATTTAGTTGTTCAAGCGAAAAACGAGAAGACTGTGACCACTAGAGCCGTGAGTACCAGCAAGCTAACGCAGAAACTCCATTAAAAACACTGGGGTAAAATAAATTGTCTTATTTTAAAGACATGGTGGAGGGAAATGTAATGTAATGCACAGCTTATTGTCCGATCTGAGACCCATTTCATATTGAATATCTAACAGGCAGCGAAAATCACTGATTTGTAAAGAAATCAGACCTTAAACTTGGCAATTTTATTATGGAAAGACAGTTTTCCGGAAGCACTGAGGCTGGCTGGCTAAAATTAAAACTCCGTGTGCATTTAGCCCGTTCGTTCATGTTGTCCCAATACAAATCAATTGTGTAGAATCCAGCATTAATTACATTGTTATTTGAGGTGTTGTTTGTTAAACCTGCACTTGAAATAGTGTCTCACAGAGATCCATGTTTACTTTGTTTTTCACAAAACTGCTTCATAAAGCCCAAAGTTTATTGTGCGATTTGAAGAAAATATCTAATTGCAATTTTTCTCACTGATATTGCGATAGCATTTGTGATTTAAATTTTTAAAGTCAAGCTTCAGCTCAGTATTCTCAATAATAATAAACCGCACATATTTTAAATAAAAGAAATACAACATACTTTAACTGCACTGTATGAGATAGCTTTGATTTTACACACATATATACATATATACACACATTTATGTATATATTTGCAAAATCACGCTCGTTGCAGTGCGATGTGGCTGTACATCGGTACTGGTGGGAGGCATGCGATGCCATATTGCACTGTTACGAGTGTGATATTGCGTTTAGACAACATTTTCACGGCATAATAGTGTATATAAAAAAAGAAAATCAATCATGGAGAGTTTCAAAACCCTCTTTGTACGAGGAACTACTTTCTTCCGCCATTCATTCACATCTGCAGCTGATGTCAGAACAGCAGAAAACGTTGCGCATTTTCCAACGTCACCTTAGAGCTAGTGTTTGAACGATTCTCTAGCGTAATGTCTAAAGTGATGACAAAACAGCTGATTTTGCTCACATTTTAAGATTATAAGGCTGAACAACATGAAATGACATTAGTCTACAGAGATTTTCCAATATTTCTCTGTTGCAATCGGGATATTACAATACCATTATGGTATAAATACAGCACTACAACATACAAAAAAAGAGAGAGAGATTGACTTAGAAAATCATTTACCTGTTTAATAATAATTTAATGTTGTATGAAATTACGCTGTTTTCTCTTAGGGCTTATTATGTGGTCTCTATCGCCATCTTGTGGATGAACGTCAACAATCGTCTTTGATCACAGACAGGCTAATGGCTGCCGACGTGATGTCCCTAAAAAATATGAATATTTAAAATAGGCACTATCCTTATAAATAAACTGCAACCTAAACATCTTAATTCTCGACTAAAATGCCGCAAAGGTACATCATGTTTGCAATATTTGTCAATAGCTGCAACATTTGTCAATCTGTGGAGAGTCCTCTGCTTGTTGCTGTATGTGGGCGGAGTAATAAACAAAGGTGAAGGGTGAAGAGGCTGGTTGAGTGCTGTTACTGGCAGAATATCGCACGGCTATCAGCCAATCAGATTCAAGAACCAGACAGAACCCTGCTGAAAAATCTAGCTTAAACCAGCCTAGGCTGGTTTAAGCTGGATTTTTCAGCAGGGAAGTGTTGTATAAAAACATACATTTACTGACTGTCCATATTAGCATGCATTTATTTTACAGCTAATCAGACTGTTACAGGATTTACTGCAGGTTTTCCAAATCATGATAATCAATCACGGATTTAAAGAACATTTTAAATGTTAATGATAACCATCAGAAAATTTGTTGTGGTTTAGCTTTAATCTGGTAATTGTGACAACACTACTCCGAGAACGACCTGGGATTGTTTTAGGAAAGCCCTCTTTATCAAATGATGTAGAGCAGGGATGTCGAACTCAACTCCTAGAGGGCCGCAGCCCTCCACAGTTTAGTTCCAACCCTGCTCCAACACACTTACCTGTAGGTTTCAAACAAGCCTGAAGGCCTCAATTAGTTTGATTAGGTGTGTTTAATTAGGGTTGGAGCTAAACTGTGCAGGGCTGTGGCCCTCCAGGAATTGAGTTTGACATCCCTGATGTAGAGTATATCGAGTCATTTTCAATGCATGCTTGCTGACTTTGTCATATTTTTGTGTTCCCCTTGTAGTGAAGATTCCCCCGATCCCCCCGGTGCTATAAATCAAGATGACCTTCCTGCTCCTCTTCCTCTTGGTTCTGTCTGAGAGCAGAGCTGACAACTTTGAGGAGGCGTACAGCGACCTGGAAACCTACAGGACCATTTATATCTCAGGTGAGAGGATGTTTAGGATTGTGTGCAAGAGAAAACTGCACAAAAAAAGAATGTACACTACCTGACAAAAGTCTTGTCGTCGATCTCAGTAGTAGGAGCAACAAAAAATAACTTAACCTTTAGTTGATCATTTGGGAAAGTGTCAGAAGGTGGATTTCTCTGCTGAATCATCCCAATCATCACACATTCTGCAGAAGACCTACTGGGACCAGCATGGAGCCAAGATTCTCATAGAAATCAGTCAAGTTTGGTGAAGGAGAAACAATGGTTTGGGGTTATATTCAGTATGGGGGCGTGCGAGAGATCTGCAACATCAACAGCCTGAGGTATCAAGACATCTGTGCTACTCATTACATTACAAACCACAGGAGAGGGACAATTCTCCAGCAGGATAGCGCTCCTCATACTTCAGCCTCCACATCAAAGCTCCTGAAAACAAAGAAGGTTAAGCTACTCCAGGATTGGCCAGCCCAGTCACCAGACATGAACATTATTGAGCATGTCTGGGGTCAGATGAAGGAGGAGGCGTTGAAGATATACACAAAGAGTCTTGATGAACTCTGGGAGTCCTGCTGAAGGCTTTCTTTGCCATTCCAGATGACTTTATTAATCAGTGATTTGAGTCATGTCAGAGATGTATGGATGCAGTCCTCCAAGCTCATGATGGAGTCAGACACAATATTCATTCTGTCTCCACTGCAGCAGGACTTTATATTCTATACTGGACATTATTTCTGTTCAGTGATGACACTTTAGTCTGAGCAGAGTCAGACCGCACTGTCCTAATCAAATCATTAATAATCAAGGCATGATCAGATTTTATTGTGCTCAAATAAGTGTAATCTAGAGGCCTTTGCCTTTCATATTAGCCACTTCTGATGCCAAATGATCGACTAGAAGTCAAGTTATTATCTGTTGCACCTAAAACACCCTAAGAATTGCATAACCACTAACTAAAAACAATAGCAAAAGCAGAACACTGACAACTGCCAAAGAAAGGGAAAAATTCAGACACTGTTTCCCAATATTATAATTCTTTGTTTTTTATATTTTACTGGTCAGTGTAATAAAGCATATATTAAAAAAGCAAGTGGAGACAGGGGAAATTTAGACAAATATAAAGATATAGACAGGGGTTGTGTAACGCCCATCCCCTAAATAGTGTGTCCCCCTCCAGCTCTCTTAACAGGGACACTTACCATAATTATCTCAACGGGTGTCGCCTTTGGAGATTCAAACCCCTCTGGCTACTGTCACAGGACAGTCACAAAGAGGCTGGAATTACTTAAGCGTGGAATAACTGATAAGCTTTTAAGGTTCCGTATTTACTTATACTATAGTAGTCTCTCAGCCTTCTACTAACTTATTCTGCAAAATAAACAAGATTACACTTGCTCAAACGACCTATTTAAATTGAGCTGAAACAACCCAAAACGTAATTCTTTTATGTTTAATCCACTTAAATATGTAACAACTATTAAGTTAACTTGATTGATCTGTGTTGGGAGAAATTGTCTGAAACCTAGGATTTTTATTTTCATACAGTGTAGTTTGTGTGAACAGCATTATGTGGACAGGGATTTCAAAACCGGTGATAATTGTCAATGTTTGGAAAATGAGATGTACAGTTCATCATCAAAAAAATGAAACTATTAGCTTTCCATTGATGTGCGGTTTGCTAGGATATTTTACAGAGGCTATTTGAAACTCTCAGATGGTAAATTTTTTTTAATAAAATAATAATAAATATAAACAAATTTTATATATATATATATATATATATATATATATATATATATATATATATATATATATATATATATATATAATTCAGGGGCGCCAATAATTCCGTCTTCAACTGTATGTATGTATATGTGTATATATATATGTGTATATGTGTGTGTGTGTGTGTGTGTGTGTGTGTGTGTGTGTGTGTGTGTGTGTGTGTATATATACACACACACACACACACACACACACATATACACGTGTATATATACATACATACATACATACATACATACATATATATATATATATATATATACACATACATACATATATATTTATATACATATATGCATATATATATATATATATATATATATATATATATATATATATATATACACATATATATACATATATATTTATATACATATACACATACATATACATATGTATGTATATATATATGTATATATATATATATATATGTATATATGTGTGTATGTATATATATATATATATATATATATATATATATATATATATATATGTATATACATATATATATACATATATATACACATATATATACACATATATATACATATACACACACACACACATATATATATATATATATATATATATATATATATATATATATATATATATATATATATACATATATATATATATACACATATACATATATACATACAGTTGAAGACGGAATTATTGGCGCCCCTGAATTATTACCTCCATTCCCCCCTTTATTTTTTTTTCCTCTAATTTCTGTCTAAGAGCAGATTTTTTCAACATATTTCTAAACATAATAGTTTTAATAACTCATTCCTAATCACTGATTTATTTTATCTTTGCCATGATGGCAGTAAATAATATTAGACTATCGAAAAATATATACTATCAAAAAAAAAATTGCTTAAAGGGGCTAATTATAATGACCTTAAAATGTGGTTAAAAAAATGAAAAACTGCTTTTATTCTAGCCGAAATAAAACAAATAAGACTTTCACCAGAAGAAAAAATATTATCAGACATACTTTGAAAATTTCCTTGCTCTGTTAAACATCATTTGGGAAATATTTAAAAAATAAAAAAATAAATCAATCAAAGGGTGGCTACTAATTCTGACTACACCTCACTATATATATATATATATATATATATATATATATATATATATATATATATATATATATATATATATATATATATATATATATATATATTCATATGAGATGCTCCGATCAGGATTTTTGCAGCTGATACAGAGTACTGATATATTGTTATGGTGATCGGCTGATACTGAGTACCGATTTTGATGCTTCAAACTTTATAATGCATTAAACACATTTTCCCTCTAATTATAACAGTTCAGTGGAGATCTTTCCTTACTTAAGAGAATAAATGAGGGATGTTCCATAAAATCCCTTAAACATGTCTTTTATAGTCATTTAGTGTGGACGTGTCATGGTCAGAAGCAGCTTTCCAGAAAATAATAGATAAAAATCATCTAAAACACACAACTTTAGTTTTTATACATGTAAAGCAGCCTAAATACATAATAGGCTATTCCAATATTTTGCTTTCTAACCAAAATGCAATATCTGTCTGACGTTGGACATTGACGTCAAGCCGATTTTTATTTCCAATCAAAATGCAACGTCTCAAAATAACTTTGGGGTACAATGTCAATCTGACGTCATGTTGACGTCCTGTGACTGCTGGAAATACTGAGACATGCTAATCCATGCTAACATTTAATGATAACTAAAAACATATGCTTTACCTTAATCCAATTGTGTCTGAGTCCTGAATATGTCCTTTGCTCCTTTGCAATCATTATCAAAAGCAGATGACTTTAGAAAACTGAGAGCAGGCCACAGTGTTTCCATAAACACCACAGCTGGATTTCTATGATTCCTAGTGTTATATACACTGCAATGGTGCACAATAAGTTTTACATGTCAAACTGTTTATGCATGGGTCATGTGCACTAAAAATATAAGTTTCTTCTTGTTCAAACTACTTATTTAAAATGAACTGAAGTTGTTTGGGGGGGGAGAATTAGAATTTTTTCAGTCCATATAAGCTGACAAAAGCTTAAAGAGTTTTGAGGCATCTTTTGTTTATTATGGATTTATATAAAATGTTAAAATCATTTTTAAATGCTTTGAAACAAGGAGAAACTTTAAATTTGTGAATATAAAATTTTGCTACAATCAACATATTATTACACAGAAATTCAATTCTTTGTTTTTCATATAAATGACAAACTTCACAATGTGATAGTCAAACGCAGGTATTAAATTGTCATCAACCACTTTTGCAATCTGTCCCAAAAGGATTTGACAATAGAACAGCTAAAAACGATGTTCCTGAGATCTTTCAAGCAGAAAATAATAATTATTCATTTATGGATATTAAATGTAACAACAAGGTCCTGAGATCACTACTGACAAAAGAATATTTTCCTCTTCCTGTTAAAAGAAAAGTTTCATCTAAAGCGCACACTATTGAAGTTAAAAAAGATACCTGGCATTTCCCTTGTTGCCTAAAATGAAAGAAGTACATTTCAAAACAATTAAAAACATTTATCCATGTAATGAATTTCTTAGAATAAGATTTAATTTAGAAAGTAAGGCTTGTATTTTCTGCTACTATTAGCTTCATGATAAAAATAATTTTCATCAAGTACAATAATAAATAAAGAAAATTATATATAAATAAATACAAATAAAACATACCAGATATTTGCACAAAATGTCTACTCTGGAAAATTAAAAAAAAAAAAAGGGGGGGGGGGTGTTTATGCATAACTTAAAACTGTACAAACCATTAAAGTTAACTTAATTTGCCTTCGGACAACATCAAGTGATTATGTGGATCCCAGCATTTTTGTATAGTGTATGTAAGCAGGTCCTGGTGTGTAAATATGCATTATATTTGGCATTATGTTGGCAAAGTCTGACAGGAAGTTCAGAGGTCTAGCCATGGGGGTCCCTCTTTAACTTATTTACGTTTAGTCCATCTCTCAGATCTCTGGTACTTAAGCACATCTAGAACTTTCTGAGGCAAATCTCTCCACATCCTGCTCTGTAAAACGCATGCAAACGAGAGCACGTTTTTCTTATTATGTGAACTAATGGTTGCAACGACAGGAACACCTACTAGCGCGTCTTCACTGGAAGTGCGTGCGCAGTCACAAGTCATAAACATTTAAAGGGAGTTTCCTCTTCTAAGAAATCTAGCAAACATGATAATTCATGTGTCTGCATAACCCAACAGCATATGGCAGGGACAGACTCACCATGTCATCTTAGAGAAAAAAAATGAAGACGGTGATCGCAATCTATGATATTATTGAATACATACTTTTTGTTATGCGATTAATTATTCATAGAAATGATTGTGATAAGTGATGCTGTCATTTTAAAGGTTTAGGACACCCTGGAGAACTTTTTTTTTAATTAACAGATGTGTGTGTGTGTGTGTGTGTGTGTGTTGAGCATCAGTTAAAACAGCTTGTCAGCTTTAATTGTGGGATAATTTTGAGCTTTTGTCTGCTCATTTCAGCTTCCGGGTTTAAAACGATTTTTGGGGCGGATCAAAATCGAGACGGGGTTTGTTGCATGTTTTTCCCCTGCGATCCTGTCAGGGCCGATCATACAGCAAAGCTGTGTGTGTGCTGCAAGCACTTTTGTCGGGAGAGCAGTACGAGAATTGGAGAATGGCGGACGCTGTCTTTTATCAGGAGTTCATTCACATTCAGACACATCACTGTGCTGCTGTGTTTGCCTAAATCATCCAGATTACCAGCAGGACTAATGGTTAAAATAGACAGGTCAGGAGACCTGCTGCACTGAGTCTGCATTCAGACCTCTGATTCAGAGTCAGACCCGGGGATTGAGGGAGAATCCTCATTTATAGTGTTTATATGAACACGATTATCTTTATAATGATATAAATTGTGGTTGTCTGTATATGAAATTACGAATAACAAATGTAGCAGGGCAATAAATGGCTGTTTATTTCTGTTTAATAAACTCATGCGTCTCCTCACAGTTTGTGTCTCATTTTGTGAGCAAATTGACAACAGTTCGCTCCTCTCCATCTGCCCTGCCGGCCACGCCCACTTCCGCCTTTTGCTCGCGGAGCTCCACGCCCATTATCATGCATCTTTTGAAAAAATTCTGAAGTAGACTTTAACCGAAAGTGGGGGTGTCATGGCCCTTTAAGGCCATTTTATTTATCGTTGTGTACGAAACATCGTTAGACTACGTTAGTTTTTTTTTTTATATATGTATGTATTTTTTTTATTTAGTGCCATGTCAGCAACCAAGGCTATCTTCATGGCAGTAATCTTTCAACAATAAATATACAATTTAAAAATCAACAAACAAAATAAAACATTAATTAAATAAGATTTTTTGTGTTAATACATGATAAAAATTCTAAAATCTTTTCTGGTTTCACTTTGTCAAAAATGTCCTTAAAAGAGTCCATAAAAAGTCCTTCTGGAATCAGTAAAAGCAGGACAGTCCAGTAAAATGTGTTTTACAGTAAGAGGAGTTTTGCAGCACAAACACTGAGTAGGGTTTTCACCTTGGAGCAAAAATCCATGTGTAATTCTCGTATGCCCAATACGACATCTGGTAAAAACTACTTGATCAAATGGATTCTTAAAATGTCTTAAAATTCTGTGTGAAACTTCAGGTTGGATTTCATGTAGTTTATTGTTTTCTAATGCAGCCCATTCCTTTTGCCACTTGTTTAAAATGTAAGCGTTGATAAAAGGTTTCATCTCTGACGGAGGAATTCGGCATTTGTTCACTACTTGCTTCAAAGCATCTTTAGCAGCTGCATCAGCTCGCTCATTGCCTAAAAGCCCGACATGTCCAGGAACCCAGCAAAAAATGATGTGATAAAACTGATTTTGTAATTGGTGAACTTTAGTTAAAATATTGTCAATCAAAGGATGATCATTCGTTGAAGATTCCATAACTTGGAGGCATGATTTAGAGTCTGTGAAAATGATGGATTTCTTTTGTTGGGCATTTTCTATATACTCCAATGCTAAAAGTAAAGCGCGGGCTTCAGCTGTGAATAGTTTTTTTTTTAAAACATCTGCATATCATGGCATTTTTATGCTTTAGAAGAGTCAAAAACGTGTATACAGCATCTTAAAAAAATATATAACTTTACAATCATTTGTTGAAACCCCATTAACTTATTCAAATAAGTTAAAATAACATTTAAAAAAATCCTTTGTAATCATTACTTTGTCAGTGTATGTTGAAGACTGGAGGGAATAATAATAGAATAATTATAATAATACTGAAGCACTGTGATGATGGACTGACAGCTCCTGACAACATTTCAGATCTGCAACAATGGAAAGCTGTAAACATGTGCTGCAAACTTCCTTAATGCAAAACCAAAACTCTCTGAAACCCAATTTACCTATTTAAATAAGTTATAATAATTTCATTTTCACTTATTTCAAGTTATTAAATGTAGTCATCATTTTTTTTTACAGTCTACTTCTGTCACTAAGTTTCTGTTTTATTGGGTTTTTAGAAAACGGCCCCCGACTCTCAGTCGACACAGCACAACCCAAAGTGATCTCTCAGCGCGGAGGCAACGCCACACTGCCATGCAAGTTCAATCGGGATTCCTCGCTTCCCCCAAATCCCAAGCTGAGGATTAAATGGACTAAACTGACCTCAGACTACCTGAAGGAAATTGATGTGTTTGTGGCGATGGGCTTCCACAAAAAGAGCTACGGTCGATTCCACGGCCGCGTTCACCTTCAGGCTGCCAGCGAGAGCGACGCCACACTGGTCATCACAGAGATCACCCTGGAGGATTACGGGAAATACAAGTGTGAAGTCATCGATGGCTTGGAGGACGATACGGCAGTGGTTTCTCTTGACCTACAAGGTAAAGCATGTTTATGTTGGTTGTATACTGTATGTGGTGGGGTTTCCATCAATTGCAAGTAAAATGTCAATCTGGCAACATGTCTATGCAGTATCATGCTACATTCACACAGAGGGCCCTATCATACACCCGGCGCAGTGTGGCGCAAGGCGTGGCGCAGTAGTCTTTTGGTATTTTAAGCTTGGTGCAAGAGTGGTTTTGAGGCGTTGCGCTACGCTGTTTAAATAGCAAATGCATTAGCGCTCATATGTGCGCTCATAGGCGTTCTGGTCTAAAAAGGAAGGTGTTCTGAGGCGGGCCGCTGGCGCGTTGCTATTTTTAAAAACTATAATAGATTTTTCATTAGACCAAAACAAACCCGGTCTAAACTCCAGCGCAGAGTTGCACCGCTTACACACTGCTTAATACACACAAGAGAGCAATAGGCAAATATCTTTACATATGAAAAAATGTAAATATTAAGGATATATATAGGATATAATAAGAATAGATATAGGATATAAATATAAAGGATTAAAATATTACAAAACATATTATTTTCTAGCCTACATAAATATGAAAAATCACTGCTTTTATGTCTTCTTCATCTCGGGAGGCTTTTTCAGTTCATTCATAACAATTTGCTTTTGTATAATGTTATTATTATTAGCAGTATTATTTATTATATCCATATTTATATTTGTTTTATTAAAAACAAGCTTAGATTTGTCCACCTGTCAGGTTTTAGACCATATGGGGCACAGCATGTGTTTTAGGATAATACTCAGGTTTTTGAGCACACTTCGTTATTATTATTCATTTATTCGTTTGCTGGAAATTAGAACTTAAGGACGGGAAAATCTGCTTTGCGTCTCGGCGCCTGGTCTAAAAGGGTTGAGTTTATTTTCTCAATGAGTTATAGGTGTGTTTTGAGAATAAACCAATTACAGTCTCATCTCCCATTCCCTTTAAGAGTCAGCTGCGTCACGCCAAGAGCACATTCGCTATTTACAGGACGCAAAGTGAGTCTAAGTGGAAAAACTGAGCATTTCACAAGCAAACAGTTCACAGTGTTTTAACAGAAAACTGTTAAACAGAGCATCTACTGCGTGAGAATGAGAGATAATGGATCACTTTCGCTCTTGGATAGGGAAACCTTTACGCACAGACATTAGTCTATAAATAAATAATTTTGTTTGTTAAGCACAAATATTTGTTTCAAAACTATTTCTAAATTCAGTTCTAATTTCCAGCAAACGAATAAATGAATAATAATAACAAAATATGCTCAAAAACCTGAGTTATATCCTAAAACACATGCTGTGCCCCATATGGTCTAAAACCTGACAGGTGGGCAAATCTAAGCTTGTTTTTAATAAAACAAATATAAATATGGATATAATAAATAATACTGCTAATAATAATAACATTATACAAAAGCAAATTGTTATGAATGAACTGAAAAAGCCTCCCGAGATGAAGAAGACATAAAATCAGTGATTTTTCATATTTATGTAGGCTAGAAAATAATGTTTTGTAATATTTTAATCCTTTATATTTATATCCTATATCTATTCTTATTATATCCTATATATATTCTTAATATTTACATTTTTTCATATGTAAAGATATTTGCCTATTGCTCTCTTGTGTGTATTAAGCAGTGTGTAAGCGAGGCGCAACTCTGCGCTGGAGTTTAGACCGGGTTAGTTTTGGTCTAATGAAAAATCTATTATAGTTTCTCAAAATAGCAACGCGCCAGCGGCCCGCCTCAGAACGCCTTCATTTTTAGACCAGAACGCCTATGAGCGCACAAATGAGCGCTAATGCATTTGCTATTTAAACAGCGTAGCGCAACGCCTCAAAACAACTCTTGCGCCAAGCTTAAAATACCTAAAGACTACTGCGCCACGCCTTGCGCCACACTGCGCCAGGTGTATGATAGGGCCCGTAAAGTTAGAAATGGAATTTCCTATGCCTAAATACTTTCAACTGAATTGAAATCCCCACACAGGCCCTAAAATACACACATAACTGCTTAAAGTATTGGTAACTCTATGGATAAACATTGCAATGACTCCACAAATCACACGTTTTGAAATGTGGACAGTAATAATACTAATAATTTAGATACTGGTGAAGCAGTGGCACAGTAGGTAGAGATGTTGCCTCACAGCAAGAAGGTCGCTGGTTCGAGCTTCGAATGGATCAGTTGGCGTTTCTGTGTGGAGTTTGCATGTTCTCCCGTATTCGCGTGGGTTTCCTCCGGGTGCTCCGGTTTCCCCCACAGTCCAAACACATGCAGTATCGAGGAATTGGATAGGCTAAATTGTCCATAGTGTATGAGTGTGAATGAGTGTGTGTGGATGTTTCCCAGGATGGGTTGCGGCTGGAATGGCATCCGCTGTGTAAAAACGTGGTGGATAAGTTAGCGGTTCATTCCGCTGTGGCGACCCCAAATTAATAAAGGGACCAAGCCGAAATTAAAATAAATGAATGAATGTTCTAGCTTTGTTCTGTACATATTCTACAACTTTCAAACATAATAACCCTTAAGCAAACCTCTGAAATGCAATATTACTCACAATATTATACACAGTTTATGCCACGTTCTTGGCTGGCCCTCAAGACAATTAGCTATGAGATAACATTGTGCTGACTCTCTTCACAGCGTGTGCAATGTAAACGCTATTCAATAGTCTTCTAATGCAGTGCAGAACAACTTATAAGTGTGGACCATCAGCAGGATCCTGACACAAGCCAAATAACAGCGCATTTATTTGGTCCCTGCTATCTGCAGTTTTGGCATCATTTCAGCTTTGTGCAATAAATCACAATAATAATTCACTTTAGACAGAGCTCTGAAGGAAAACAAATAGGAGTTTGATTATTGCCAGGTCAGACAGCATATTATCCTAGCATTTTTAAGGACTTTTTGTACAAAATGATATATTTTCAGGTATATGGCTGTGCAACATGGCAATATATATTGTATATACAAAATAAAAAAGTCATTATTCTTATTATGCTCTTGTGACATCACTAAATATTCATTATATTTTACATTTATTTGATATTTTCAGGGCTCAACAATAAGGACTGCCCGGTGGCCCGGGGCCAGCGTGAAAGACACTCGGGACAGTAGACAGGATTGTTACTGGCCCCTATCGGCCAGTAACGATGAGCACGTTTTTTTTTTTTTTTTTTTTTTGTAACCTGGTAACAACCAGTAAAGCGAAAAGATGGCAACATGCCAGCAAAATTAAACAATGAGGCTAAAAAAGAACGTCTGTTTCTAAAGCCTTAGAAGCAGACAATTACATGGGTACAAAATTAAGAAACTGAAAAAAAAAACAGTTGTCAGTTTGGCTAGCCATTTTTATAAAAATTATTTAGAATTGCAATAAAATACCAGCACATTTTTCATACTGCAAAATTTTGAATTTTGCTCATCATACATTTATTAAAATATTTAAAATGTTTAAATTCTAGATTCACAGGCATAATTTTGCCACTATTTAAAATATGTGGCTAAGAAATAGCTATTAACTTTTTAGTTTTTTTGGTGGGGCCAGTGAAAATTTTGGCAGGGCAAGTAAAAATCTCAACCAATGGCCCGATTGGACCTGTATAAAAAATCCTTAGCGTTGAACCCTGATTTTTATTATACCCTGTATATTTTCCCCAATTTCTGTTTAACATATTCGTTTTAATAACTCTAATAAGCTTCTAATAACTGATTTTTTTTCTCTTTGCCCTGATAACAGCACATAATATTTGACTAGATATTTTCCAAGATACTAGTATACAGCATAAAGTGACATTTAAAGGCTTAACATGGTTAATTAGGGTAAAGTTAGGTTAATAAGGGGGCTAATAATAATGACCTTATATGGGTTTAAAACAATTAAAAACTGATTTCATTCTAGCCGATATAAAACAAATAAGACTTTCTCCAGAAGAAAAAAAGATTATCAGAAATACTGTGAAAAATTCCTGAATCTGTTCAACATCATTTGGGAAATATTTTAAAAACCCTACTAATTTTGACTTCAACTGTATATAACAAAACAGAAAACAGAAAGGATACTTTATCGTGATAAATATCGTTATCAGGATTTACCATGGCTTTCCAGGTAGCAAAGAATTCTGGCCCAGATTTGCCATAAAGCTGGCACAGCAGGCATTTATCCGGCACTGGCATACAGCATGTGGGCCAAACATGACCCGTATTTGGCAGAGGTGGCACCGTCTTTAAGGCGGCACACAATACTTAGGCCAGATATCAAATGTAGTATTTGGCCCAGATGCTAACAATAGATATGTGGGCCATGTAAGTTTGGCCTATTTTGACCCACATTTAAAATACTTTTTAATTATTTTTGAATAAAGGGAAAAAAAATCTACCAATCAGGTTGCTTCAAGAAAAAGCACAGCCATAGCGCACCTAAAAGGCAAGGTTTTATGGGTTTTATGGGTTTTTATGGGTTTATCAATTTCATTGCAGTCGTGAAATCAACATAACATCAACATATCTGGCCCAGTTCAGGCTGTGTTATGGGTTATTAACTTGGCTGAGACTTGGCCCAGGTTTGGCCCTTGTCTGGAAGCCAGACTTGGTCCAGTCATGTACCGTAATTCACTGCGGCATGTGGGCCAAGCAACAGCTGGTTGTGTGGGCCAGAGATATTTTGCTATGTGGGCTATATCATGAAATCTCCCAGCTCTACTTTTATACCAGATCTTCTGCTTTCCACAGGTATCGTTTTTCCATATTTCCCAAGACTGGGTCGATACAACCTGAACTTCCTTGAGGCTGAAAAAGCTTGCCGAGACCAAGACGCCATTGTGGCATCCTTTGAGCAGCTGTACGACGCCTGGAGAGACGGTTTGGATTGGTGCAATGCAGGCTGGCTCAGTGACGGATCAGTACAATACCCCATCACCAAACCCAGAGAGCCATGTGGAGGCAAAAACACCATTCCCGGAGTCAGGAACTATGGGATACGAGACAAGCAAAAAGAACAATACGATGTCTTCTGTTTCACCTCCAACTACAAAGGTTTGTCTTCCTCACAGTTCAATTAAAGGCCATTTGAAATAGGCTGGCTACAAGGGATTAGTGTTGTCACAATACTGGAATTTGATAGCAATCGATACTAAAATTTTAAAAACGTCCATTTCCTGCTAACATTTGAGCACTGTTGAGCGCGTTCTTAAACAGCACTGATTTGCCCTTGTGTTCACATGCTCAACAGAAATGACTGTGATTGGCCGTAAAGGTCATCGGTTCACCAAACTCACAGCCGTTTACACTGCCGAGTGTAGCTACAGATACAGGGACACCTGAGCGTTTTAAAGCTGTGGAGATCAGCTGGTCTGTTTAAAAATATACATACGAGTGATCTGCTGATGAATCAACTGATCATCACAGCTTTAAAAAAAAATTTTGATTTTACTTCTCAGCAAAATAATTCTTGTATTAAAATGTGTCATTTATAAATACATTACTATATTATTTGTAAAACAATTGTGTCCTTTAATACAAGCAGTCAGATAAATTAACTGTATATATGTTCATATACAACCATATATGAACACATTTAAAATATAGGTAATATATTTTAACATATGTCAGTGTTTGCTTTAGTTGTGGCGGCAGGCCTTTTTTTACACAGATCTACCAACTACCTGTGCCGTTATTTCAATGGCAAATGTCGTGAGCGCAGTATTAGAAGTCGAGGCCACTTTGCTTGCGCACCGATTTCCTCTGCTCGTGCACAAAACTTGCTCGTGCACGCCCCTTCAAATATACGCTGCTCAAGCACAGATCGTCTTGTGCGCTCTCAAATAAACACTGCTGAAGTGTTATTTAGTGTGTTTATGTAACAAGTGTGTCTGCAACATTTATTAGATTGGCTAGGAATATATTTGAACCTCTCCAATAGACCTACAGAGCAATATTAATGCGTCCTTAAGTAAAGTGAAATGGCTATATGTCTTGTTTGCTGGCCTCACACATCACGCACCTGTCAGTCAGACAGTCAGTCTGCATGTTAACTTAAAGGGTTAAACAAACAACGCACAGCACTACAGAGAAGTCTGCGCTGTTATAATTCACTTACCTTCTAATACATTTTGGTGCACTTATCACCCGCTATAAAAAAAAACACGACTGAATGTTTTGAATGAAAAGCTGTAATGTACTGTAGCGGGGATCAATTTTGGCATGGCGCCCCGCCATGGACGAATCATTTGTAGAGGAAACCATGTATGTAAATGTATATGTTTATATATGTACTTAATTTTACCTGCTCAAAGAAAACACTCGTTTAATTACATGAAAAGAACAACATGAGCATTTATGGCGAATAAATAATTGTAAATATTATCTCACTTGCGGCGACGCAGTGGCGTAGTGGGTAGCACGTTCGCCTCACAGCAAGAAGGTCTCTGGGTCGCTGGTTCGATCCTCGGCTCATTAGGTGTTTCTGTGTGGAGTTTGCATGTTCTCCCAGCGCTCGCGTGGGTTTCCTCCGGGTGCTCTGGTTTCCCCCACAGTCCAAAGACATGCGGTACAGGTGAATTGGGTAGGCTAAATTGTCCGTAGTGTATGAGTGTGTGTGTGTATGTTTCCCAGAGATGGGTTGCGGCTGGAAGGGCATCTGTTGCGTAAAAACTTGCTGGATAAGTTGGCGGTTTATTCTGCTGTGGCGACCCCAGATTAATAAAGGGACTAAGCCGAGAAGAAAATGAATAAATATCTCACTTGCTTTCTGCGCCTTGTCGAATGAATTCTTAAACACCTGTGATTGGTCATTGTGTGCCTGCGGCTCAACAGAAAGGGCTGTGATTGGCTCTAATGCTGCGTTCACACCAGACACGGATAAAGCGTCAAGCGAATAGACATCCCGAATAGACATCCTGCTGTGCGATTCACAGGAATGAAGTGGCGCGAGTTAAGCATTTTGCACATTTGACATGCTTAACGCACATATCGTGCTAATCGATCAAGTTTCTGAACTTCTGTGGACATTCGTGCCGCATTTCTGTAGGGGCGTGATTGCGACGCCGGACAACAGTTCATCAAACTGGGCTTAATCGGATGCACCGCTGAAAGCTCAAGGAGTTGATGAACTCACAGAGCTGGGTGCACCTCTGAATGGATCTAGTGGATTCAGACACAGCGCCAAATAAATCGTCGCTGTTTATCAGCCTCCCTAAAGCACAGCTACCCCCAATAAAACCCATGTTAGCCATTTAGCAATGAAGCTAGTGTCACCAGGCAGACAGAAGCCCTGCCCATAATGTGAATCGGCGTATATTGTGAATAAAGCGAATTTGGTGTGCAAATGAAGCCAGTAAACTCAAAATGTTCACGCATCTATTTACGTGTGAATAGCATGATTTATTCGCACGTTCCACATTTGGTGTAAACACAGCATAACGGTCAGCACGGCTCTGGTGTTATTCACCAATGAGTGACACAGATACAGATAAACAGCTGTGATCTATAATGTGCAGTTATCACAGCTGATCCATGATAGACACGGTGGAGAAAACTTGCGCTGTAGAGTAACCGTCTAGATCTACAAATATCGCTGTAACAGCCGAGAGAGGAGAGGAAACGTTACCTCACGCAAAGTGAGGGGGAGAGGGGGAGAAAGAGAGAGAAGGACAGCAGAGATGGAGTTTACGGCTTTTATTTTTCCCATAGTGAAATAAGGGCTCGTGGGTTCTAGGCATGGGGCGATAACCATCTTCAGGGTATACCGCGGTTTGGAAAAGTCAAGGTTTTAAACCCACAAAAATTTCTGTAATACCGTTCCTAAGGTATATGTAAGATTTTACATGTATTTTTAAGTCTTGTAAAGAAATCTCTGATTTTAAAACTAATGTAAACAGCAGAAGGTAATGATTCATTTGAATCATTTAGCCTGACATGTTTACTGCTCCAAAATAATATAAATGTTTCCTAAAACAAAATATATGGTGTTTAATTGGGGAAAAAAAGTAGTTTTTTTTTTTAACCCAGACATTTAAAAATAGCTTGTTTTAGAGCAGTAATCACAATACCGTGAAATTTTAATCCAAGGTTATTATAATGACAGAAACTTTCTGTCGTAACAGTTGTCTGCTTTTTAAGTAACGTTAGTTGGATTATTTAAATGTATTGTGCTTGCCTCCCTCGCCATAGTTATAATCTAAATAATCGCAGCTTTTGTGATTTTGGGAAAAAAAAAAATTTATAATAAAAAAAATAAATAAATCACACCTTTTCAAATTGATTAATTATGTAGGCCTAGGCACAAGCCATTTATTAAATAAAGACTCACGCAGCTTCTACTGCAGCAAATTATATTTAAATTTTGATATTTGGTGTCAATTATCAGGAAGTGACGATTTTGTTCTCTTTAACTCATTGGATGGATGTCTTTTATGCAATATTCCAGTTTTGTACATATATTTTATGTGCATCTTTGGATGGAAACATGCAGAGCTCTGCATATATAACAAACCAATGTTTTAAATTCATATATTTTTTTTAATTAGTCAGTACTGAAGCCAAATCTGGAGCTTATCTACCAAAATAACTTACAATAACGGTCCAAAAACTAGTACACCAAAATTTATATGTTATAGAAAAATAATAAATACAACTTTGGAAAAGAGGAAAAAATCCAGAGAAGCAAAAAATTGAATTTAGTTGAAAATTTATTAGATTGTATTATTATAATTTATTTTTTTTTGCTATATTTTGTTGGAATTTATTTGTATTATCTTTCAATTTCTAAATTGGTGACTAAAATATGTTTTTTATAAATATGTTTAATAAATCTATTTGTTTAAATGCACCAAAATACATTGCTTATATTCACTGAGAAATGGAGAAAAAGATTCATTTTCGAAATGGGCTGTACTCAATTATGCTGAGCAGTGTAGCTAGTGTAATGCTGCATCTTATTTGAGCAACTTTGAGAATAAACACTTGTCTTTTTACTCCCCCACAGGACGTTTTTATTATTTGATACACTCGTCCAAGCTTACATATGACGAGGCGGTGCAAGCATGCCAAAAGGATGGAGCTCAAATCGCCAAAGTTGGGCAAATGTACGCAGCATGGAAGCTTCTGGGCTACGATCGATGCGACGCCGGCTGGTTGGCGGACGGTAGCGTACGGTATCCAATCTCCAAACCCCGCAGACGCTGCAGTCCCACAGAGGCCGCCGTACGCTTCTCCGGATTCCCAGACAAGAAGCACAAACTCTACGGCGTCTACTGCTACAAGAGCAACAACTGAGTTCGCAAAATGTGTATAACTCACGAACTAAGTGTAACAATGTAAGGAGTTAGAGTGCATTAAAACTGTGACAAAGTCTCTAGATACTGTAATACTGAAGGATTTGATTAAGACGTAAATGATTGGTGTTTGTTTGACGATTCTGTCGGATTAGGCACCTCCTCGGGTGGTCTTTTCCCTCAAAAATGAAGACGGCAACCGGACAGGAAAAGCATTCATAGTAGGCCGCAGAAACTACGAGTCTGAGCGATCGTATACAGCAGTGCTAATTAAAGGAAGAGATATATTTGGCGAGATTGCAGTAGAAATTCACACTGCGCTCTTCCATTCAGCATGCAGTAGCTTGAGGGATGTTCTAGAACTGAAATGACGGCAAAGTTTAAATACGTTGACCTGATACCTTTGGGCACTTAGTTTATCATTCAAGAGCATCATATCCCATAAAAAACCTCATATAGGAATCTGATCCGTGACTATATACTGTATGCTAATTACATATTTGGATTTCACATATATAAAAATGCGGTATATATGCTACATACATTTAAAAATATTGCAAAAATGGTCATTTAAATGTTTTTTATTATTATTGGAATTACAAATATGAACTTGTATGAGAGTATATGTTTAAATTTAGTAGCTATATTTTATATATGTTTTCATATATCACCATATACGAGCACACATACATATATGTGTGTTCATATACAGCCATGTGAACTCACATTTAAAATATAGCTAATATATTCAAACATATGTAAACGTATATGTTCATGTATGGCCGTATATGAACATATATGCATGTGTGCTCATATGCGGCCATATATGAACATATACATTTACACATGTTCAAATACATTAGCAATATTTTGTATATGTTCATGCATACATGTTCATATACGGCTATATATGAACATATTTAAAATGTAGCTAATATATGTAAATGTATATGTTTAAATATGGCCATATATGAGCACACATACATATATACGTGTATGTGCATTCGTATACAGCCATATATAAAGATATATAAAACATAGGTAAAATATTTTAACATGTATGTAAATGTTGATATATGGCCATATATGAACATATCTGAACACACACACACACACACACACACACACATACATATATACATATATATATATATATATATACATACACACACACACATATACACTTTTGTGTGTGTGTGTGTGTGTGTGTGTGTGCGTTCATATATGACCAAATATGAACAATTATTTCAAATATAGTTAATATATTTGTACGTGTAAATGTATATGTTTATGTATGGCCGTATATAAACACACCTACATATATGTATGTGCGTTCATATATGTTCATATACAGCGATATATGAACACATATTTAAAATATAGCTCATTCATTTGAACATATGTAAATGTATATGTTCATGTATAGCCGTATATGAACATATAGGAGCACACATGCATATATGTTCATATACGGCTATATATGAACATATTTAAAATATAGCTAATAAATTTAAACATAATATGTAAATGTATATTTCCATATATGGCCGTATATAAACATATATGAAAGCACACATACATATATGTGTGTGTGTGTGTGTGTGCTTGTATATGTTCATATACGGCCATATATAAACATACTCAAAATATAGCTAAAACATTTAAACATACATGTAAATGAACATATACATATGGATGTGTATGTGCGTTCATATATGTTCATATACGACCATAAACACATATATAAAACATAGGTAATTTATTTGAACATATATGTCAATGTATATGTTGATATATGGCCGTATAGGAACATATACGAACACATGTGTACATATGTGTATGTGTGTTCATAAAGGACCAAATATGAACACATATTTAAAATATAGCTAATGCATTTGCACATATGTGTAAATGTATGTTCATATATGGCCATATATGAACATATATAAGTACACATGCATATATGCGTGTGCGTTCATATACGTTTTTATACGGCCATAATTGAACAGATATTTAAAATAGCTAATATATTTAAGCATATGTAAATGTATATGTTGTTCACATATGAACACACATACATACTCTATGTGTGTGTTTATATATGGTCATAAATGAACACATTCATTAAATGTAGTTAATATTTGAACATATGTACATATTTGTAATTCCAATGGTTGAAAAAAAATACATAAACAGACATTTTTACAATATTTTACATATACGTTTTAAATAAGAAATCTAAATATGAACTTGTGTTATATATGTAATTTGCATATATATTGCCATGTATCAGATTTCTATACGAGGCACAGCATGAGAGAAAATAAATCGAACTAAAGTGCTAAACAACACCATGCCACAAGTTTTCCTTTTGCCATCCTTACAGGGTGCTATAATTGTATTATTTCCTAAACACATACCTTTTAAAATCTAGTTTGAAAACATTTTGTGTGTGGACCAAGCCATGTTGAGACATAAGTTGGGAAACAAATCATTGCTTTGTGATTTTTTTAACTATTGAAATATACAAGTAGAGCGTTTACAAATGTATGTTAATTATCTCTTGAAATGATGTGTTTGTAAGTCTCCCCTACGGCTCCACTGTATCGACCTCATCACTGTCAGGAGGATGAAGAAACCACCATTGTGTTTCAAAAGTAAATCTTGCTTTCCTTTTCCGTTTTTCTAGATCTTGTTTATAACATTCATGAAACCGTAGAAAACAGATCCTCAAACAACCCACAGCAATGGTGCCAAACGTTAACACAAATTAGTTTGCTAGAAAAAGTTGTGTGAAAAAGCACACGGTCCACTTTCCAGCCAATGTGATGAGTAGTTTTAGTCTTTGCATGTTGATAACGTTTACAAATAGCAAGACTGAGGTGGTCAAAAAGATGCTGAATGACCAGCTAGGAAAAACAGCACAATGAATAAACTATTTTCTCTTGTAGGAAAAAAGACATACCTTGCAGGTTAAGGTTTACTCAAAGACGATGCAAAAAAACAACAGCACAACAACAAAAACAAGTGCATAGCATGCTGCATTCAGTCTTTACTTGTCAATGAAGTAGTAGACTTTCAGAAAATAAATAAATAAAAACGTCAAGCCAAGGCATTTGGAAACAAACCATTAAAACCGACTGCCAAGCGAAGACAAAAAACAACTCATTTGATTCTTGTGAGTATTACGATTAGGGTCAGCGCATTCAGTTTACAACTGAAGCTCCTGAGTTTTAGCCGCTACCAAAAAAAGGATGAAAAAATAATCACACTGTTCGAAAATACTTTGCATATGTATTTACATTCATTATTCACTTTGTTTTGACTCTGGCAACTGTACACGTGCCTTGTTTACAAGACTTCAGAATCAATTTTAGAGCCGAATGCTTAGACATGTATTTAACGTTAACATTTTTCACCCTCTGTTTTTTTTTTGTGTGTACATAAAGTATAATTAATGATTTGACTGTATCGACTTGGAAAACGCCTTAGACCCCCAGAAAATAAACAATCAGTCAAGTACATGTTTGGTTTGGTTGTTTTTAGTGAAACACACACTGAGTGTGTGTTTACCTGTCACTCATAAGCTGACAGGTAAACAGCTGAGCAAGCATCTTTTGAACTTTAGATCTGTAGTGTCTGCTTTTTTCTGGCTGTATGTGGGCGGAGTGATACACAAAGTGTAAAGAGGCTGTACGGGTGCTGATATTACTTATATCACAGCTATCAGCCAATCGGATTCGAGAACCAGACAGAACTGTTGTGTGTGTATATATATATATATATATATATATATATATATATATATATATATATATATATATATATATATATATATATATATACACACACACACACACAAACCTGTATCAAAATTTAGCTCAATAAATGGAGATTCTCAAGTCATCCTTAGCATAAGATTTCAATTTCCTCCAGCTTATTCATCTGAGTGTACAGTGAAAACAAACCAGTGTTCGCTCATTTAACTAATAGACCATTTCAATGTGGTGATGTCATTGGCCCATGAACATTTCCTGCATGTTATCAAACTATTTCAGAACTGTAGAGGCAATTTAATCATAACGTATTGGTAAAACAGCTATCATAACATTATTTAACAATATGTTGCTCTTTTTGGATTCTTGGGAGCTATAGGAATTAAAAATGTGCTCCGGGGTTACAGATACCTTAGTATTAGGGGGAAGCTAATTTCAACCATTTTGTGCAGGGAAACGCATATCCCAAAAGGGCAAAAACAATGGATTTTCTCATCAAACACATGCTGAATTCAGTTAAATGTAAACGTACACTGTTACCTAGTCAACATGATCAAAACAAGCTAAAATGCATACCATAAAACAACAATATAGATGGTTATAAACTAAATATTCCACATCAAATAATGTTTTATGGACTAAAATCACAACCTCCATATTTACTTACTTTCAGAAAACACATGGTCAGATCGGTCCGTGTACGTTTTGTTCATTTGTTTTCCATTTTCAAACGGAATAAAGGAAATGGAGAAAACGGCCGTTTTTCCGTTTTTCTTTTGAGCACGAGAAAACGAAAAAACGAGATTTTGGCTGGATTTTCGTTTTTTTGGTTTAGGGTAGGAAAACGGATAAACGACTTTAAAATTCATTTTACACATGTAGGCGGTGCTGAAACGCCCACTTTCCTCTAATTGGTTAACCAAATCTGCGCTCGTGACGTCACCCTCAAAATAAAAGCCTTACACGCAGGCTTTTAATTATTATTATTTAATTATATATATATATAAACAAAGTTTACATATTCTATCATTTGAACCACACACAGTTAGCAGGCTTACATTCATTACCTATGTATAAATTAAATAAAAACGTAAATCAGCAGTATTCTTAGACATTTGTCATTAAAATAAGGTCATAGTTCACTGCCAAGCTTCTTGCTGCTGTGCAACTGATGCTGAGCAAAGAAAGCCATTTCCGAGCAGCACCTGGTTTGCATGATTGTTTCAGAGCAAGTGCTTTATAATAATAATAATAATAATTATTATTATTATTATTATTATCAGTTACTAGTGTTTTTATTGTTTGGT